ACGTACTTGGCCGGATTTTTATTTTATTGCCTCATATAATCTCCAGATCTCACTCTTACTCCTGCTTGACGGACTGCGTAATAAAAATCTTTCTTACACTCACACCAATAGGAATGATGACTAACTTTCTCTTCTTTTTTTTTCATTGGGCACGTATTTTTTCTTTATTCGTTTAATAAAAACATTACAGAAATTATATTGATTTGAAATTTTGCAAGTCTTGGTATTTTTTTTAATTAGAAGTGACATCGCGAGCTCTCTCGCCTAAACTTTGAAGTTCTTCATCTTAATTTGTTAATTATTCATTTGATTGACAAAATAATAAATACGTATCCATTATTTTTTCTTTAATTTGCGCCTTCATTAGCCCTGTAACTTCTTTCGTACGTTTAGGATCACCAACCATATAAATAGCTTACGTAAATCTGTAGCATAAATTTACCACAACACAAGCGTTCGGACCGCTCGCTAAAGCGCTGACACTTAAATCGTTTCAATCCGACTTAAACAATAAACCTGTTATTTTTATACTCTCCACGGGCATAATGCGAACATAAGTGTGCCTTGCGGTAGCTTAGAATTAGTTTAAGAGTCGTAAACTAGATCTACTACTAAAGTCTACTAAAATTGTAACAACTGCCTTTATACATATTACACACTGATGTGGTAAATCCTTACGTGAATTTCACATTAATTTATGGGCGATTCTAATCATGAGTATCTTTTATTTATTCCTTCCACTTTATCTATATATATAAAAATAATTGCTGTTCGTTAGTCTCGCTTAAACTCGAGAACAGCTGAACGGATTTATCTTATCTTGGTCTTAAAATGTTCGTTGAGGTCTAGTAAAGTTTTAAAAGGTGAGAAAATATGAAAAAATTGCGAAGAAGATAGTAAAAACGCCAATTTAATTTTCCCATATAAACTGTTCTATCTTCTTTCCTGTCAAACATTAATTTGACGATCATCCCTTTTGGTAGGGTAGACTCGTCATTTCTTCCAAATTATTTTAACCCGTACGAAGTACGAGGGGTCAACTAGTATTGCAATAAAAATAAAATGGTGGTTAACATTTTTAATGACGTGCGCGTTTTAGGGTTCCTTTTCCAAATGGTGATACTCATTTTTTTCATCAGTCCGTCCGTCCTTGTTGTTCGTTTGTCTCGCTAGAATTCGAGAACGGTTGGGCCGCTTTTGCTGATTTAGGTTTTAAAATGTTTGTCGTAGTCTGGGGAAGGTTTAACGGTAAAAAAATATGGAAAAAATGCGACGAAATAAAAGTTATGGGGGAATAAAGAATTGTATATACATACATGAACCCTGAATAAATTACACTCTTTTTTGGGCAGTCGCGTAAAAAATATAAGTAGCAATTAAAAACCAGCAGGGTTTTAGTAATGTGAACTGTTTCGCTTACATGGGAAATAAATTTAATACTTTATTTACACTAGGCAGCCCCCCTCTTGTAGTTCTGTCCTGCAAAGAGGGGGGCAGCGGAGGGAGCTAAACGGGCACGCCCAAGTAGTCCTCCGCAGCGGACGGGGACACTAGGCCACGTACTCAGCCCCCACGCGCGGGCCATCCTGCGCACGTCTGCGGGGTCCCCGTAATACCTCGGGAGACCCCTGCCGTGGAGTCTCGACTAGGCCGGGAAGGTAGTTAGAGGGTATTCGCAGGGTTTTTAGCGGATATTATGCCGTGAAACGCCCGTAAGAGTTACGGGGTCCTCAGTGGGCAACGACTGCGGGGGCTCGTAATAAATAAATAATAATAAGTATAATAATAAATATCGTAAGGCTTGCGGGAGCCAGGTGTGAGGTCCGTTCGGCGGTTTGCCTCTTAAAGGCGCCGTCGTCTTTAAACAGAGATTTTGACTGCGTCACAAAAAAAAAGGTATCCAATCACATATTAGGTACTTGCTCATGGGCATTGACCATGTTCTCATTGTTCAAAAGAATTACACATGCGAGTAATTGGAACATATCACCATATTAAGTACTAGCTCGTGAGAACAATCGAAGAGCTTACAAAAATTACGTTTCTGATATGTCGTACTAGCTTGCGCCTGCAACTTCGTCCGCGTTGAAGTTAGCTTTTAAAGAATCCCACAGGTAGGAGCCCGGTTTTCTTCTGGGATAAAAAGTATTCCATATGCCAATCTAGATGATAAACTAACCGTGTTAGCGTGAAAGAGAAGTACAGTGGGCGTGCTCTAATGACCAAATGCTTAACGTTCTTTCCTAAGCAAATAGGAACTCGAAATAATACATTTCGGGCTTCCCATCCCATATGAAATGAAATTATACTTTATTAAAATTTACTAATTGAAAGCTCTTTTGAGTCGGCCAATCATCTTTTCTACCGGGTGGTAAATGGGTGTTTAGGACATCTTTTAGCTGATGAGAAGAATGAGCGCAAAAAACTCACCAGCATTCAAAAGTAGCCGCATTAACAAAAAAATCATGTCCCTACCAATACAACGTCCACTCACATTCTGATACATAACCGACCATTTTGAAAGCTGCTTAACTTCCACAATCACGGACTTCTACACACAGATCAAATTTAAGTTACTCAAATAATTCATGAGATACAACCCGCTGCCAGATGGGCGAACAGCGAATTCTAAGTAGTAATTTCATGTCACTCTTTGAGTATGGAATCTTAAAATGGAAGTAAATTAATAAATAACACTACAATAAAAAAATCGCATAATATAAACACAATAAAAAATTGCCAACGTATTGACGCTACTAAATTATGCCGGGGCACTTCGTCGTAAGGAGTTAAATGAAAATATTTACGGATTGGCCGGTCTTATCTCGTTATCTTTATTGACATAACAATCAGCCAATTAGGGTACTCGACACACGAGCATTAACCGATGTCGGCACTTGTAACAACAAAAGATAATGCTCGCGAACAGTTGTATTGTCATTGTGGTACGCGGTATTATTGTTTGTGTACATAATTATTGTTGGCTGAAAATCCTGTGATCGACACCCGACCGCTAATGGATACGGAGTTTCGTATATTACATAACACACACGCACTCAATGATTAAAGAAGTATGATTGAGAGAAGCGCATAAAAGTTTTTAAATGAAGTAGGTTATAGGATTTTCCGTTCGAATTGGAGCGCCCGTCTGGGGAAGCAAACTCCACGTTACAGAAGAACACAGCAAAATAACACTACATTTTAATGTTGTTGTTTTTTTCTCCTGGTGTACTCACTACCCTACTGGGTTCCAGAGCTCCGCGGGCTAGGGGATTGGATCCAGGCCAGCAAAGTGGTGATGACTGAAGCGGCATACAACAACAGATGAGGTGCGGTAATTTCCTTAGTTTTGTAAAAAAGCATAAACAGAGAAAATAAATATCAGCGGGGGCCTTAATTTATCACCCATTTTGATACAAAATACTGGCAGTCATAGATACGCGCATCAGAAGTAAAAACGTATTAAAGTAATAAAAGGTTCATGTTAATAAAAAATATATCATTAAATCAATATAATAGATAAAGAATAATACTTATTTTGTTCTTTCCTGAAAATTTAGTTTTCTTCATATGTTTTCGCTTATTAGGCCCACTACCAAGTTTTCAATTAATATCTAAAAGCTTATCATCTTTAAGACTCATTCCATCTCTATTTCACTTGAAACAATTTAAAAGGATGGAATGATTACTGAATACTATTAAGACTAAATTTGGATAATGAATTTTGGTACAAGCTAGTGGAGCTTTTAATCTCTTTGAATTGAGCAACTTGCATTATGACCATACAACTTAAATTAAAGATAATTTAGTTTTTAATAAATATGGGAGTGAGCGAGTGGTTTTTCCCCTATCCTCAAAATGCCCAACGTGTGTAAAAAGCATCTCTCATCAGCTCTCTCATCTGACTCATTGGCACCCACCAATACGCACTATACCCATTTGCATTAAGTATTTACTACTTACCTATATTGTCGAACAAGACCAGAGGTCCAAGTACGAATTTGACAGCTCCATAATCGTAGGGCATCGTCAAAGTTTCTATGAAAACTAAACAACGCCCCTACCTACCGGACGTGGGAACAAACTGGCTCCTTCCATAGAAAATTTGACAATGTCGATATACGATTACGAAGCTGTCAAAATTCGTACCTGAGCCTCTAGTCTTGTTCGACAACTCCCATAAGAGTAATAATGTAGATAGGTCAATACTTAAATCAAATAAAGGCTAATTTGCGCCAATATTCTTAAATCTGATTTATTTCCAAGTGCATATTTTATTTTTCCTTTTGACTTTAACAATAATGAGTACTTATTCTTTTTATCTTTATTTTTTTATATTTTTATAACTTTGTAATTATATTTTGATCAGAATCTTAATAGACTTCGAAATTATTAGAATTCCATCATTTCCATTACGTATCAAACGTTTTAAATTCATCTCAAGTTTTTGTAGTGAATATTATATCATGGTATGTTGTTTAGAAATACTAGAGTAACGGATATACATACGTATCATGATACATAGATAAGTATTTTTTTGTATTAAAATATCTAAACTGCCATGGTTCAGTTAATGCAATGAATCTAACATTTATATAGTGATCTTGGTTATAACGCTCGCGTAATTTATATTAATCTCGTGTATTTATCTTGGTTTGTAGGTAACAAAGGCATTTATAACACCGGCAGGCGGCACCTTTTATTCGCTACCATTTTTACATTAAGACCATAGAAATTTCCTGTATTGACTTTTAATAAAGGTGATTTCAATTTGTCATAAACTTTAGGCGGATTCGAAATTACTTTTTTCATACCGGACCTAGACCTAGAGCTATTGTAGCATTAATATTGCATTCTGTAGGTACTCTAATATTATTTATTCCATGCTAGAATTAAATATCAAAGTCGGTCAGACAATGAGCGAAATTGATTGAAGCAAAACAAGTTCTTTTTCATCCTATCATAAACTTATATAACAAAATTTCCCCGAAAGCTGATAATAACAGAGCTCCACTAATACGTACGTCTAAAATATAACGAGACATTCTGAAATAAAAAACATTTTAAGTATCAAAACGTCAGTATAATTTTATTACGGTTTTCAAGATACCTTTGTACAATTTTATACAAAACAATAATTTTTTAATTTTCCATTAAGACTAATAATTACAATTCAAAAATTACATTTATTTTCAAGTTTATAATTATTAAATCTAATATCACGATTTAGCTTAATTATTATTAAAATAGGTACTCAAGCGTTACATCTAAGCCAGAAAACAAATAACATCGCAAACATTCATTTAATTTCTCTCTATTTAATAATTATATACAACATTAGGTATGACATGACAATTAAGCATATTAATAAATGTTTAAATATTCTTAATATTAAATCATGATTACAAATTTCAATTTTTAATTTTGTTATAAAACAAATTTGAAAACAAAATTTAAAATACTTTAAATCAAATAACATACAAATAATAATTCTGGTTAAATACTTTTGCGAATTTAAAATATAAAAACTTTAATACGTTTATATTTTTAAAGCGTTGGTGTTAAAATACCTCTTTATTACAAGTAAACAACTTTTTTATTTATGGGGATATAATTTCATCATTTTAGAATATTTGGTGTTGTATTACAGTGAGTTTGTGAATTTTCCATAGGCCTAATAAACTATTAAAGTTAATAAATACAATTTATTAGTAACATCATTACATAATTAATGGAAAGTGTTCTCGTAATCAGACTCAACATCTCACACGTTGTTTGTACAAAATAAGGTGGTTAAAATATCTTCGTTCTTACACACGATCCTTATTTTACGTATGTTGTGACAATTGACGATTATTTAAAAAATATTTACATTTGCGAATATTTAAGTGATAATTTACAGTGCATTGAAGTGAAATAACAATTTCTCAAACAAAATATGTGCGTCCTTTTACCGATGAGCTGCCTGTCAATGAACGAGGAACGTTAGGTGAAATGTCTTCTACCCTAGAGTAAACATGACCGCTATTTGGGGAAAGCCTGAGGTCATAATTGAAACGAGGACAAGTCTTGTTATCTATCGACATGTAGCTATTGTTAGAATTATTCCCTTCCCCGTACGTATTGTTGTCGGAGGAAGGTGAGCTTTCATTTAGGGAAGACTCCCCGTCATTTCGCCTGCAATACTGTAAGGAATTCGTAAAATTCTGCTTTGAGCAACTATCGTTTGAAACCGGCATTGTTGTATATCTCAACGTAGGCGTCTGACGTAACGACTTCTTGAATACACTTTTCTCGGTTCCCTTCACCGTGATAATGGTATCGGTCGAGTTCAGTAACGCGACGAATCTGTCCCAGAAACGTTCGTCGTTCCACGATATATTCTTGAATTTATCTATAATGAAACACAATTCGTCGTTGATTTGATTATTTTCTACCACCATGATAAAGATTACTTTGTTCATATCACTGCGATTTAGTGATTTCAAGTAACTATAAAATATGTTTTTGAAGTGTATATCACAGAGGTCGTTACAAATAAAACTGGTGGTCAAAATAACTAGAAGGCGTTTTGATAGTTTCGATGATTTAGAAAAACTGTCTAATGTAAGAATATTAAGAGATGCATCGTTAGGCGAAAACTTTTTTGAAGTTAATTTTCTGAACTCAATTTCAGACATAATGTTATGGTATACGAAATTTGTATCTTTGGTATTACATATCACGTAATAATCGTACATATGATTCGGGTTTCCTTCTAAAACATGATCGACATTAGAGCACGACTGTTCTTTGAACAGCGGCACTCCATATTTAGTGTACAACCAATCACTGACCTCATATCTGAAAGCGTAAAATACAGCACCTATCAGACATAGAATTACAATAATAATTACTGCACCAAATATAACAGCAAAGTAATTGTCAGGGAGGAATATGGACTTGGAAACTATTTCATTTCTAGAAACTGTCGGGTCGTTATTAGAACCCATATATTCTTTACAGTGACTAAGTACTGACGCAATAGTAATTTTAGTCGGTTTCCCCGCCGTGTCTGTACACAACATTTTTTCAGGGTCGCCGGGGTCCCTTCTCAACCAGGAATCTAACTCAGCTATACTTTTACAATCACATGAATATTGATTGCCTTCTATAGATACGTGAGCCAAACTTTTTGATGATGAAGCTAATAATTTCCACGGGAAAAAGTTAACTAGTTTGTTATCGTCGATTCGTAATACGGATAGAGATTTTAACGATGAGAACGTATTATTGGCCACGTGAACTATAGCATTATGGTCTAAATATAACTCATTTAAATTATTCAGATGTGAAAATTCGTCCCCTTTTAACTCTACCAATTTATTATTTTCTAAATGTAGCACTCTCAATGAATCTACTCCTTTGAAAGTTTGGTTATTAACTTCTTTCAACTTCGTGTTATTCAAATATAGTACTTGTAATTTCTTTTTACCGATAAACACGTGATTGCCAAGGTGATTTATATTGTTACCATCTAAATATATTTCAGTAGCGTCCATTGGTATACGCTCCGGTACTTCTGTGTAGCCAGCATTAGAACAATCAACTACGTTCGCATTCCAAGTAATATCATGATAACATCTACAGTTATTTGGACAAATCATTTCACAGTCGCAAGCAACGAAGTCACAACAATGACAAAGAGCAAAACAATGACTTTCATACGGACAGAGAAAGTCAGAAGGTGACATATCAATTATCATCTTTTTCTCTTTCGCACGTGAATGTACCAATGAACACAATGCCTTATCAAGATCTAACACACGTGGGTATTGTCGACTGTGGCTCAAATAATTAATGCGTTGAATCCATTCCATTGAACAGTCACAAACAAATGGATTTCCGCTTATAAAGAACTCGGGTAGGTCACTATCTTCATCTATTTGATCCAAGCGAAAGGCATTCATGTCGATTTGTACTAGTTTATTATTATTTAATGTCACTGTTGATAATCTGCGTAGCTTCGAAAATGTGCCGACTTGAATGTGTTGGATATTATTATCGTTTAAGTACAATTTTTCAATAGATAGTGGTATTGAGGTGACCGTTAGTTGAGTTACATTGTTATGACTTAAATCTAACAACTTTATATTTATATTTGAGTACATATCATCATTGACAAAATTATCTATAAAATTCTTGTGTAAATCTAACCATTCTAAGCTGGTAGGAAAACTGCGAAAATCGAAGGATGAAATTTTATTAGATGACATATTTAACCACACCAAACTATTGAGGTTCGTAAATATACCATCGAATTTCGTGATATCGTTTCCATCCATGCGTAACAGTTTTAAATTTGCGTTGTTGTGGAAACAGCCAGGTGCAACGTGTTTTATTTTATTGGAAGCCAAATTAAGCACCTGCAGCTGAGGCAAATGTTCGAAAGTATCTTCATTTAAATACGAAACTTTGTTGTCGACGAGACGCAAACCGAAAAGTTCAGATAAGCCTCGAAAGTTTTCTCTATTCAAGTGACTTATATTATTGTTTCCGATATCTAAAGATTTCAGTGATCGTAATTTTCTTATTGATATTGGGATAGCGGACAAAAAGTTGTCGTTGAGGCCCAAATCCTCAATATTTGTCATATTATCAAAAGCACTTTCGTCTATGTGTTTTATTTTATTATTATCAATAAATAATTCATGCAAAATGTGTAGATCTGTAAATAAATGAGTGTGAATGTCTATAAGCTTATTGTGTGAAAGAGTAAGTGAGTGTAAGTTTCTTAACTCTTCAAAAGCATGTTCTTCAATGAAAACTATTTCATTGTGTTCCAAGTTTAACTTTTGTAAGCTGTACAAGTCTTGAAACATGTATCGATCTATATTAGATAACTTGTTATAAGATAAATTTATAATTACCATACGTAATAAACCTACAAACGTGCCCTTATTTATCCACTGACTAGTTAATTCATTATGTGACAAATCTAATATTTGAAGTTGCTCTAACCTTTCAAATATGCCTGGCGGTAGAACATTAATTGTGTTATTACTCATATTAATTTCTTTCAATGATTTTGTGTCAACAAAAATATCAGGTGGGATTGTATTCATAAAATTACTAGATAAATTCAAAACCTGTAAACTTAGTAGACCTCCAAAGGCACCATCTTCAAGAGTCGATATCGCATTGTTTTGCAAAAACAACTTTGACATCGAACGTAACTTCGACAAACTGTTGTCGGTCACAACAATCAAATCATTGTAGGACATATCAAGTATTTCTACGACTAAATTACAACTTCTAATGCTTAAATTTTGTTCTCGTTGCGAATCCGAGAAACCAATAGTCTTTATATTTTGTAAGTGATTCCTTGTGAGATTAAGTGTTTTCAAACTATACAATGGACAAAACGTGTCGGTTTTAGTGCTCCAGATATTGTTGTCACTTAGATCGAGTTCAATTAATTCGTTCAAGCCTAAGAATGCCTGTTCGTGCAGCTCCATTGTCATCGCAGACCATTCACTGTTGTGGGTCGTCACGTGGAGCCGCTTGAGATCTTTAAAGTTTTCAAAGGCGCGTGCCGGTATTTGACGTATTTTACACTTGTCAACAACGAGATCCTTTAGCTTGGCGAGATTCGTCGGCTTTCCCGGAGATTTTTCTGTATGAGCGGTCAGCGTGCTTTCAAAGAATAAGATCTCACTACACTGGACATGCAAGGACAGCACTTCGTCGAAATGTGTCCGGCTAATGTTCTGTAACAGGTGGTCCAAACTGCTTATTGTTCTGATCTTGCAGAACAGTACCGCATTCTCCGACGTTTCGGTCTCGGAGCTGCGGTAAGCGCACTCGTGCGGCATCTCCGCCGCATAGTTCTTCTCGACGGCATGGCAGTAGAACAACACGTACACTATGATTCGATTGAAAGTTCGGCGCTCGAGTCTTTTCACAAGAGTCGGTTTTATTGGCATTTTACGTCGATAAAAGAGTTCCTGTGAGGCATTGATGTCGGCAGTGCCATTTATGAGGAGGCGAATTGGTCGATCGCGTCATAAATATTCACGCGTTGGGAACGACATCGTGACTCGCGCGGCATGGAGGAGGGCTCGCGGTAGCCGTGTGACGCGTGCGGCGGCTGCCCACCGACTGACGGCCACCGCTGGCTCCGCCCAGTGCCGCCCCGCGCCTCCACGCCGCCCCGGCGTCTGAAGAAACTTCATCTCATATTATCAAGGGTGCATAAGCCGTTGAATTATTCCCGTGCGGGTGTATCGGGCATTAATTATAAACAAAGTGAGATCGAGTTTCCTGGAACTCGCAGTTTTACAGCTTACATTTTATTAGAGAATATTAATCATGTTATACGAGTTATGAAGTATGCCAACGTAACAAAAGTTGGAATTATAGCATCTAACTTACAAACACGTGCTTAATAAGTTTTTTTCTTTTATTGATGAGAGAAGAAGAAATGAGAGTAAAAATTAACGTTTGATTTTATTGTCCTTTATCACACAACTTTCGTATTGATATAATCACATAGAAAAAACGAGCTAATATCTAGTTATGATAAAAAAATATTGCTATATGAATCACTTCCAAAAGAAACTGTGCCTAATAATAGTCATCATCATCAGCCTATTATTGTCTCTACTGTTGAGGCACAAACCTTCCGTAGGGACGAGATCGAGATAATTGGCGGATTGGTGGGTGCTAACAACTGCAGATGCCTGGCTCAAACGACTTACGTACCTTCCGAAGTCAGAAGCATACTTTTTTCAATAATAGTAAACCTTCTGAAAAACTACTGAGTTTCCCATGTTTTAAGGGAAAAAACTTCTTAGTTGTGAAAGAGCATTATCACGACTTTACTCCACTTACATTTAACACGGAGTGAAGTGAATAACGAAAGCCTGAATGTAACATTGTTGTTATTATAATTCGACTTTCTTTTGATTAATTAAATATTGGATATCATCACATCATAAACTACTGATTCAAAGACAAGTAACTAAAGCATCAGTGAATACGAAGGAAGTGTATAAATAAATGATTAATATATTATTTCATGATTTATAAATTTAATTTTTAAGCATTAACTGCTAGATGATTAAATTTAAAGAAAATTTTACTACAAAAAACTCCACGCGGTTCAGGCAGCGGATAGCATAATGGTGAGTGCATCCGCCCGGATAGCGGAGGGTGCTGGTTTGAGTCCCGTCTGCTGCCTGGACCGCGTGGATATTTTTCTAGTAAATTATTCTTTAAATTTAGAAATTATCTTCCAGGCGCACGGCAGGTTACCATCCTTTCTTGATTGCTGTTCCTTCCCTTCGCGCCAAACGCTTCTCAAATACTTTTAAAATGCGTACAGCGAAAAAGTGGAATTGCCTACTTGTGTCTGTTTCCGTTAACTAACGTCAACCTAACATTACGTCAGAGTGAATAATCTCCTTCTGGGTAAACTCGCTACATTGTGTCCCATCTCTGCTCTTAGGCTTCACATAAGACCATGAGCTAACCCAACAACAAATTAAAAAAAAAATGACGGGTTGCAATCCGGGGGTACCGGCAGAAGTGAAAACTTGAATATTAACGTTGTGCATTTTTGATATTTTGGAATGCTTAGGGAATCGTTTTGCACAAATTGCTTTAATTATCAGTATAAAAGTACTATCATTTATGTGGTAGAACACAATATTTATTTATTGCGTTATCGTACACAAACATGACAATTTATATTACATTAAATAGTTGATCTCTCAGAAAAATCAACTTACATGAATCACATTTATGCGCACCTAGCGACATCTATTGTAAAAAAAATGGAATTTCTTAGCAATAAAGCTGCCACCTGGACGTCCTAGATAGAGACTTATTATTATAATACGATAAAATGAAATATTACTATGTTTCGTCCAATATATTGAAAGTCAACAACTTTTCCAATTTTATTGTTTTCGTCTTACGAATTTTCGATTAGGCCACGTGTCCACGTGTCCTGACGAGAGTTTAACATTTTTTACCCATTTAAAAAAAAGTGTACAACACCGCTAAAGAAGTTTTCACTTCAAATAACTTTCTTTAACTACCAACTGTAGCATAGTCATAACATTGTAAGTCAAAACGCTTCTACTTTTATCATAAAAATATTGGATTTCTCTGTCTATTGACTTGAATAGATCTCGAGTCTAGAAAATGGTTTAGTAGTATACCTAGGTCATAATAATTTTGATTATTGTAACGTGTTAACACAAAATCTTCAGAAATGCTACGAATCCACATTATTATTATTGTTTTTATACAATCATTTTTATTCATTCATAATTATTTATTTGTTCATATCAGTGTCTCACAATTACATTACAAAACGATAAAAAAGATAACAAAAAAAATATGATACCGACAAATGAACAACGCAGAAAAAAAAAACCCGTTTTTGTTGCAATGTGTTCATATTCTTACGGTTTCCTAAGAGACAATATCGTTACATCCCGAACACCTGTTGTTTTAACCAACTTTCCCGAACTTTTTACTCAGCGTACCCGCGAAAATGAGATAAAAGCCTTACAAAATAGTTTTCTAGGACAACACATGCTTCCAAAGTTAACGTGCTACTTATGTTGGTCCGTGTAGGAGCCTAAAACCTTTTGCGTGGAAATTTTTAGAGCGCGAAATTTTTGACAGGTTGAATGATAAATGACAACGCGATGCAAGTTTTTAAGGTTTTAATGGCTTTAAGAAAATGTAATAGATTTAAGAGAAGGATAAAGTTTCTTCAAAGGAAGGTCTGGTATACCACAGCCTCAGATTTTTTGGAGATGAACAATGAATATGGAAAAAAAAAACAAGTTAAAAATCTTTTTCTCTGGGTAAATAACAAAGAAATCAGAGGTAGGTCACCAGGGTTTTAACTATTTTTTATTTTAGACATCAAACCGCTAGATTTTATATCTGTAGGTATAAAACCAAACTGATACTTAGTCGATTTTTTTTCATATAATATAGTTTAGTCATTTGTGCATGAATAAACTTAAGCATTTGTTCCCGAATTATGGTTCTTTATTATGCTCGTTGAACACTTCTTAGATTCTGAAAAGTTCTTAACTTTATTGTCCTGAATTATCCGGAAGTACTAGTTAATTAGTACTGAAAATCATATGTAAATAGTACAAAGCGGTCCATATTTTTCAACTGTTTACAGAAATATCATTCAATGATAAAACTTCAAAAAAATAAATTGCCTTTTTTTTAAATCTGTTGCAAGTTACAATTTACCGTGATACTATTAGGTATTCATTTTTTTTGTTTTACTCCAGCTTTATATCAAACGTAACGTCTGTAATGATAGTTATCAAATCAGTTAGTGTCTAGCCGTAGTCACTCGTACACAGGAATCACAAATCAAACTAGAAATTCACACGCCGACATAATGAGATGCAGTCCGCCTACATAATCTTTATAACATCATCGGATGCCCCAAATAGGCGCTTAAGCTTTATATCGTCCATCAAAAAAGAGCTAACAACCTCTTTACATCTAAACCGGACATACACGATTATTGCCATGACCGTGACCGAACTTGGATAATTCAATACAAACAAAAAACAGATAATTACGGCATCGGATTCTTGGGGCATACCGACTAGTTTGTTAACTGCCCATGGGAAGAGTTCACGGAATAATCGGCCAGCATATAGTACTTAACGTATGCGTAATTGAGCTATGTGGGTATACTAATAGTACACGGCAATTTGTTGTTCGTTATACCTTATAGCCCCTGATCGCTAGACCACCCACTTGAGCGGAGAATAAGGTAAAGTATAAGATAGAGGTATCGAACTCATAAAAAGTAGGTTCTATTGTAAACCAAACAGTTTTTATAGCGAATGCACTGAATGTTATTAATTTGGTGTTTTTTAAATTTCTCTGAGTGTAAGTAATTTCATTTTGCATTATGACAACAGCATGGAAACTATTTAACATATTTTTTATGATAAGTCACTGTATTCTTAGGTATTTTTCTTATATGGTACAATCAAGATCTAAAGTGAGATGAAAGAATTCCAAAGAGAAGAGAATTTCAAATAAATTTAACATATTGCATGTATCCTCATCCTTATGACCAATTGAAGACTTAGCATTCGAATGGCTCTCCACAGAAGGAGTTTAAATTTTTTTCGCCGCAGGTTGTATTATTTTATAAATTGAAGATAATTTTTGAATTAAAAATACAAAAAGTATCTAAATATTTCTAATAGATGCAAGCGGATCTGCCAGACAATGTCATGTCTGAACGTTTTCCGCTAATAACCGAATAGAAAAATCTTATGAGCAGATACAATTAACTCTCTTTTTTCATAAAGTATCTTTCTCTTCATCATCATCATTATATTTATACACAAAGAAAAAGCTTTGCACACCCTTTGTAAGCAGACAACCCACGGAGGGGAACATTTTTCTCAAAGAAGGTTTATGTGGTGAAGGAGTGCAAAAACTAATGTACTTAAAAAAAGGTAACTATTAATTACTTCTGTAAAGATCATAGTTTTTGTTCAAGGGCAAGTATTACACATTATAAACATTCAGTGAAAAATTTCCCATATTTTGAGTGTTAACTGCATTAAAAAACTGTTACGTAGTCTTTGTGATTATTGTATACATACAGACAGCAGGGGCTTTTGTTTTATAATATATAGTGATGATGCGTAAGCAACATCATACAACTACTATGCGTTGTGTTCTTAGACATATATTAGATTGAATTTGTAAGCTTTATTGAATATTATAAAGGTCATAAATCCTGACAGTGTATAAAGATTTGGTTTGTTTAAGAATATTATATTAAGTTTGTGTGATATACCTAGGAGATTTAAATTACATTTTTTTACATTTTTATCGAATCGAATCATAGAACTTTAAACCACATTCAAACCCACTTAAGTATTAGTCAATATGATTGTATATCCACAGCTGTATTTTGTTTTTATTTTCTGTTCCCATGAATTGGCTTAGAGTTAATTATATTCTCAGCAAGAAACTTGTAAAGAGTGGGTATCGAATGGGCTCGTCCCGCCCCTAGCAATAATCACCTTGTTAGTGAGTAGTGCCGTAAGATTATAACAATCGATAAAATTAATTAATTTGTTTATAAAAAGAGTTAAAATTATGATACTTAGTATGTTTACGTGATTAGATGTCACAAAACTTGTATAAGACCATTTGTCAAATTGAATTTTAATTAGTATAA